CCTGCTTGTGGTTTTTAATCCTTCAGCTCTATACAATGTTTACACTAATCCCCTTAGACCCCTATTCATCTGTGGAAGCATGGTGGGGGAAGCCTTTCATCAGGGACTTTGAAATGCCGATGTGCAGACAGGCCTGATACCGGCCTGGAGTAGCCTGAATACCGTGCAGGCATTATACAGGGTGGGCTACCGGGGGGGCCCTTTTCAAACCGGGTCTAAATGGTCGCCAGCCCTAAATCAAAACCCAGCGCAAACTGAGCTCTATTTCAGGTAGAAGTTAATTGAAAAGCTTTTTTGCACACTACTTCCAAACTGTTTCAACCCAACTCTGTTGTGCCTCAGTAAAGCACAGATGTGCCGGCTCATGCATGGACATGGAAGTTCAGTTGCTATGTCGTATTACTCAGGTCGCTGTTCTCACATTTACTGTCAGAACACAGTTGTGAATTCCTGTACCTTATAGAGAGCAAAGCATTATGTTTCCCTTTGCACCAGTAACATGCTTTCTTAATCCAAGAGACTAAGCCCACATACTTTCAAGGACAAGTTTTGAAAAAACAGCAGATTGGATAGAAAAAGTCCTTTGTTCTCCTTTGTGTTTTGTCCTCTACGGTCAAGCCATTCTCGGTCAAGGCCACTACAGTCTAATCTTCTATTTTGGAGGGGATAAAATACAACAAAAGCAGTGAGTGGCGAGTGATGCACTTGAGTCGACTGACTCTAGACCAGTCAAGAGGCAGGATCTGTTGGTGAGGTGTCATAGTAACAAGCAACACTGGCAGGGCTAAGTGACCAATGCCGCCCTGTTCAATTTCTGTGGTCACCTTCCCCCAGGGCAAAGATCAGTACAAGCTGGGCTACGACCCGTCCTCGGCCGAGTCGGAGCGGGCCGCCGCCCAGGCTACCCTCTTCACGCTGGCCTCCTTCCTGGAGAAGCAAGTGCCCCACTGCATGTCAGTGGCCCGGATCCTGCAGGCCAAGTGCCCGCTGGTGAAGTTCCGCCACCACGCCACGGGGCTGTCCTGTGATCTCACTGCCGACAACAGGTGACTAGAGGCTGTTCCAGTCAGTGGCTCTTTCCTCATTTTTTTTTTGTGGGGGGAGGGAATGAGTTGGTTGTGGGGGGGAAGGCATTCTGTATATACAGATCTTACGTCCCGGTACGAAGTGACAAACTCTGTACAGTTACTGTAACGCATGTTGTGTGCATAACGTCACTTCCTGATGCACTAAACCCTTGTACACTTCATAATGCGAATATGCCTTCAGTGGCAATACTGCAAAATGTTGCTGTTACAGACACCTGAGGGCACCGTGAACCTGATCACCAGACAGGCTGAAGCATACTCTCAGACATAAATGGTTGTGTGCATGATCTGTGGGAACTTTGCGACACTCACTTTGTGGCACTTGTGCAGTGCACTCTTCCATGGTTCTCTCATGATCCCAGACAGCTCTGCACTATGTACACTTCGTGCATGGACCCCACAATTCATTGAAGACTCGGTCCATTGTCAAGCTGTTGTCGTTTTGTCTTATTTTTGGGCTTTTTTTTTTCCACCTTTTTTTCCTGACTCCGGCATATAGCATCGCCCTGAAGAGCAGCGAACTCCTCTACGTTTTCAGTCAGCTAGATCCCAGAGTGCGCCCTCTAGTGTTCGTGATTCGCCATTGGGCGCGGCACCACGGCATCACCAACCGTGTCCCCGGCTACTGGATAACCAACTTTCCCCTGACGCTACTGGTCGTCTTCTTCTTGCAGACCCGGCCCCAGCCTGTCGTGCCTTCGTTTGACTACCTTCGTTCTCTTGCAGGTGAAGCCTAGCTCACGCTGTCACGATTTTGGCCCCAGTAGCCCCAGATGGCAAAGCGAAGACACAGCATGTATGTGAATCTGGAAAAACCTTAAGTGGTCCTCACAGGTTGGGAAGGGCCATGAAAGTTTTAAGCATCTTCAAAATTATCGTGGCACAGTAATGATTTTTTTAAAAACATTAGGCAATCCTATTGTAATTGTTATTCAATCTGGTATTTTTTTAAGGTCATTGTACATTTGAGACCTTCCCTTGTTATCTGTGGCTGTTTCTTTTGCAATGACAATTCAGTGCTCGCACGTCCACCAAGAGGTGGACCATGTGTTGAACTTGACCACTACGCACAGCATCTTTGTGGCAGCAAATTTTGCTCCACAGGTTTGCCCAGGAGTGTCCACAGATATCGGGTTGAGAAATACCATACAAAAACCATTGAAATGACAATCTCTGGCTGGTATTTAAGTGTGCATCAAAGCTGTCTACTATATCTTGCCCTGTTCAAAAGATAAAAATTTTGGTCAAAAATAAAACCACCTGGAAGTGATGAAACTCTATAACAGTACAGCTCATTACTGTTGAGGATTCATTTTTCAGGTTTGGGAAACGATTGTAAACCAAAACAGACAAGCAATTTTCATTCACGCCAACAGATGAATCAGACTCCACTATTATTGACGGAACCGACTGCACTATTCCTGGGGACCTCAGCAAAGTGGAGCCATCGAAGAACACGCAAAGCACTGGTAACCAACTAAAGGCAGTTTTGTCCGATGAAATAAAGAAAAAAGCTAAGAGCAAATAGAACAGAAAAGCACATTGTGTGCGTTCCACTTTTACCAGGGTACAATAATTTGCTGTGATGTCAACAGGTGGGCCCAATTTCACCGTGCTGCTTAGCACACAATTTCATGCTTACAGAGGTTCAATGTGTTTCATGGAGATCGTAAGCAGTAAACACAGACAAAGGCATGCTAACCTTGGAGGAAAACTTTGCTTTACCGTAGTGACATAAAAGTAGAAATCTCTATGCAAGTGCAACCGTAAGCACAATCACGCCAAGCACCGCCAAGAAATAGTGCTTAAGATTAACAAATTTTGCTGCTAAAGTTAGCAAAACTTTTCCTGCTGACTGTTAAGCAGCTCCGTAATACTGGGCCAAGGTGTCTCGCTTTCATACATGTTACATTTCTCTGGGTAGACATCCTACCTAGGATGTCGGCATCCTGTGAGCAGTTATGGAATTGGAGCAATGCAGGATAAGGGTAGCATAAAGTTAGTGTGCTCAAGTCTGCTTATGGTAATTCCATATAAAGAATACATTACGGCTAATAAATGTGACCGTCACCACAAAATGAGCTGAAAGTCGGAATTTTCAAAAATTTAGAGATTGGTATTTTTGAGTTAGCAGAAAAAGAGCTCTCCCATGGCATGTACATGGAACACTGAGGTAGAAGTATAAGGTGACCGTGTGACATTATTCTGGCAGCCTTGTGTCTTTGTTCCTGACATTGTTTCAGCATTTCAGACTAGGCATGCATAATGCTATTGTCAAAACTGCTGTGAAAATGACATTTTTATTTATATGATCCTGCGAAATATTTGGAATTAAATAGGGGACAGGTTAGTCTTTCCAAATATTACAAAATCCCCAAATTAACCTCCACTTCAATATGATTTTGAACCTTTAAAATAGGAAAGAGCGGAATGTGACTTTACGCTCATTTTATCAAGACGGGTCACAAATGAAATTGGTTATGAGTCATAAACTGAAAGAGTTTTTTTTTGCATGACAAAAATATTGATAGATGTTATGGATTTTTAGGAAAATGTGTTGCTGTGTTTCTGTATTTTCACAGCTGAACTGTTGCAAGAGTTCTTCACTTTCTGCACCACATTTGATTTTGAGAGCAAGTCCCTCTCTGTTCGCTCTGGCCAGTCGAGTCCCAAGCCTGACCGCTTCTCTCCACTGTACATGGAAAACCCCTTCCAAACGCAGCTAAACATGTGCAGGAACGTCTCGGAGGGCCTGCTGAACGAGGTCCAGAAACATTCCCACCACGCCCTGCAGATGATGGACGTCCCTGGGTTCCACGGTCCAGGGTCGGGGTCGGAGGCCATTCACCCCTGGGGCGTCGGAGCCCTGTTGGCCCCGCTCAAGAGCAAGCGGAACGGAAAGCGGTCCATCTGGCTGAACAGTAGCATCGGGAGCGTACTAAAAGGGCTGTCACAAAAAGCAGGCCAAACCGGCACAGACAAGCAACCGAGGAGCAACTTGAAAGGAAGCGATTCCCCCGTGGCCTTTTCACATACTTTGTCCAATCTGAAAGATACCAGGGAAACTTTGGAAGGGTCCTCGCATGCAGATGCAAGAACTGGGCATGTGCAACATGCGACAGCCCATGACACGAGTCTTAAGGTCGACAGCTTGAGGACTCCCCAAGAAGACAAACAGACATGGAGAGTTTGCCAGACCAAAATGATCCAGTTATCAAATCTAGCCAAAGACAGGCCTGAGGCAACTCCTCACAGAGAAAATGTGATTGAAGAAATGGATTCCGCACAGAGCAGTAGCACGTTGTACCCAGATACGGACAATGCCCAGGCTGAAATCACAGGGAAGACACACATACCAAAGTTGCGGATAGCCATCAACAGTGTCAGGAATCGGCTGTTCGATGGAGGATACAAGAAAGCAACTAAAGGAATCGTTCACTGAGGTGCCATGAGTTGGATTTTGACAAGTGTGAATTGCAGAGAGGGCACTGCTGGGCCAACAGGAGATATACACCTGTTGACAGCAGCAACTTCCATGCATTATGCAATAGGCACAGGCTTACTGTCCTAAATCTATTAGGAGTCACATGACTGCAAGTGATAGCTTAACCGTCTGGAACATGTCCGTATAAGCATGAAATCAGACCCTTGGCCATTTCCAACTGCATGATCTTACACTGAGGCATCTTAGTGTTTTATTATTTACACGTATGGTCTGTACCTCCAGTACACTAAGGAAATAAAATACAGAACTGCAATTAGGGCTTGCATTAAAACATTAAAAATCAAATCGTCGTACATCCTAGATTACCAAATGGCTGAATTAAATAGGGCATAATTAATCCTCTCTCGAAAAATCATTTTGGTACAACTCCTTTGAGGTTTCGCCTTTAATCTTCGAATTCTGTTCATCCATTTGTGTAAAAACTAATTCTCATTTGGTTTGTGCCCTCTCCCTCTGTAGCAGTGTTATTTACGTGCGAGTTTCCACAGTAAATCTTCAGTGAGACCACATCTATATGAAGTTCTTCACAATTATTTTGCTAAAGAATTGAATTAGGTTGTCAGACGAGGGGAGAGTCCGAAATCAAACAGGCGGTACGCCGCGACAAGGCAAGGTTTACCTGCAGGTTCAACAAGGTTTGAGGGACACTGAGGTTCAAGAACCTAGTTACTCCTTGCTCAATTTTGCTTCCTTCCCTTCATCGCACTCACTTGTTCACACGTTAACTTCAAGAGTTTTTCTCTTACAAAATCAATTATTTACAAACACTAGGTCTAGTCTGGAGAGATGTTCCGTAGACGTGACCTCTCCTGTCTGGAGTCTAGCCACGGACTCTTCTCAGTGCAACTCCCAATTTAAAAAATATGTTCAGACTTTCTGCAGTAATTACATATCTTCACATATTCCTAGTACCCCTATCAACCACCAACAGATAACAACTTGTTTAAATTACTACAAAAACCTATCACCTCTGTTTTTTTGGTTTTTTTTAGATGGCCAAGAGCAGTTCTTGTTGGAGTCTGAGGGATGAGGACAGAGTAGTAAGAGAACTGTGTGCTCCATCAATGTTGCCATTTTAACAAACAAGTTCTGTGATTGTCCAAACATTTTCCAGCATTCAGTTAGAGCTTTTTTTTAAGTCAATATACATGTACGTTTAAATTGCATACTGTTGAATTGAAAATAAACAGACTGTTT